AGACAGGGCAGACACAAGGCACCAGGAGACATACACGGAGTCTCCCCTTCCCAGGCCACCCCCGTGACCCTCTGTCTTTCCCCAGGCCCAGGATCCCTGGAGAACTCAGCCCCGAGGCCCCCCGGGCCCCTGACCCTCCTCTCCGCCCTGGGCTGGCTGTGGTGGAGGATGTAGGAAGAACCCAGTGCGGCTCGCCTCCCCTTGCGAGGGGCTTGAGGCCGAGAGCGAGAGAAAAAAGGAGAGCAAGCGCCGTGGGTCTCGAGGGGGCGGAAGAGCTCTCTGCCACCGAGGAGGAAGAAGGGGGAAGGAGGAGGAGGAAAGCTCTTTGGAGAACCCATCACTGTGAGGGATAACGCAAAATTATGCATCTTTCTACAGCCATTTTCGCCACCGTTCACGTTTCCGATTGTGACCCACCCCCAGCCACCCCACACCCCTCTCTTAGCTCAGGCTGTCAACTGGATCGTGTGTATGTAGTGGGTGTGTGTGAGCATGAGCCTGCACGTGTGTGTATGTGGGGGGGGGGGGCTCAGCAATCTTCCCTCCCCTAACACCCCCATGCCCACTGCCCCCCAATGCTGCTGCCTCTCTCCTCTGGCTGGAGGTAGGTATGTGGGCTTCGTGGCTGAAGCTGTGAGGGGAGGTTTTCCACGCTCCCTGCTTCCCCAATATATGCACGCACCCCACCCTTTCCTCTCCCTGTTAAGAGAGCGTCTCCTGGGCAGGTTGGGGGTGGGGAGGGGTGTCACACTCACCTGTCAAGCTATCATTCAGCCTTTGAGAGCAGGTGAGCGATCTCCATCTTGGCTCCGGGCCTCCTTGCTGTCAACCACCAGCTGCCTGTAGCCAGAGGCCCCATCGCTGGCTCAGCAGCCTGAGACCTTCCCACTCTCCCTGCCCCCCACCCTGACTTTCTGGCCCGCTCTGGGCCAATCGGTGCTTCCATCCAACTGTCAGACCGGTGCCTGTGGTCACCTGTCTGTCTCAGTGCTTTGCCCTCCCCAGCTCCCTTGGCCACCTGCAGCACCAACCAGCTGCCCCCGGTGCCCCCGCAGCTTCCCACAGGTGTGGGCTCGCTGGTCTACCACTCCCTGGCCTCTCCAGCTGTACCTCCCAAAGGCTGACCTGACTGCCCTCACACACGCTCAGATAGACACACACACACACACACCAGCGACTGTGACCAGCAATAGCCCCCCGGCTCCAGCTGCACTGTAGCTGGTGACCAGCTGTGTTCCCCCAAGGGTGGGCATCTTGTCAGGACGGCGTGCTGAGAGGCTGTAACCTCAGCTCTATGGTAGGAATACACAATCTTGGCACACATCACACAAAGTGCGGAAGAGAGAGGCATTGCACAGACATCCCCAGTCCAGACCAAGGTGTCAAGTCACCAGCTCTGACTCCTGGGAGACCCACTATAAACACTCACCCCAAACCACACTACCCAGAGCTGGGGGGGGGGAGCTCAGAGCAGGGGCAGGGGGGCAAGGGGCAGTGACTGTACCTCAGACGGGGGCGTGGGCCCCATCCCACATTGTCTTCCATTCCCAGGGTCCAGGGGATGGGGAGGGGAGGGAGAGGGATGCAAGGGAGGGGGCGGGGGGGCCCTGGGGGCCGTGTGTTCCAATTCATGGGGAGTGTTGAGACCACCACACCAATAAACGCCTTTTTCCAAAGTCTCTGCCTGCAAGTGTCAGTGTCATTTAGGATTTGAGTGAGTGGAGGGCAAGGGGTCATGGTCACTGGCGGTGCCTCCCAAACATCATTTCTGCTTTCTCTCTCTTTGGTAGATTTAGAATTGACCCGTAACAAACGTGACCCCCGATTGGCTTCAGCCACTTAGCTAATGACAGAGTTCCAGAGCTGCATGGATTCACAAGATGCTCTTCCACTGGATAATGTAGCTCAATGATGTGAGGTCTATCTAGATCTGTTGCTTTCCCCCAGTACATGGAAGATCTTGGGTCTGTGGGGATAGCAATGGTGAGGATGATAGAATGTAGAGCCTGAGAATGAAACAAACACTAGCATACAGAGTGGGGGTGGGGAGGCTAAAGAAACTGAGTCCATGATGACATCATTTGAGGAGCTGGATCAAAATTTACCTGATGCCCCTTTCATGTACATAAGCAACACAGCCCCCTGTATGTAGAAGCCGACGTGCGTGAGGTTTCTCTCTAGAGATTAAAAAGGAAATGAAAGCTCTGTTATAGAAAAGATATCAAGGATCCAGGTACCCAGGACCCCAGCCTTCATTTTGCCAGAATGATCCAAGAGCTCTATTTCCCAAAGGCCTCTTTCACCTCAGTCTTTAACCAGAATACCTCACATCCTTTCCTTCCCTGAGACAGATGCAGGATAGCTGTTCCCTCCTTCTTTGCTATCGGACCCATCTCCCATGATACAGGCTGAGATACTTGCTTTCCCAGCCTCACTTGCAGTGACATGGCTAGTTTTGGGTCAGTAAGGGAAATTTGCCAGTAGGCTTCCAGGAAAGTTCTTCCTCACTCGTGAGGTTGGTCGAGGGAAGGGGTGTGGGAAGGGAACCTTGCTCCCTTCTCTTTGTCTTCAGATACGGGTGTGTGAAGAGATGATCCTTGGTACCTTAGCAGCCATCTTGCTACATAAGACAATATGCCAACCCACTGAGTGTGGCCCAGCAGAAGGATGCAGACAGCTCAGGCCCTTGATGGGGTCACTAAGTTGCTGAGCCAGCGTGAAACCACCATCTATTTTGCCATCATTTATTTTGTTACTTGGAGCCAAGGGAATCTTCATTGACGCACTCCCTAAATTTCCAATGAGAAACTCAGCTAAAAAAGAAAGACACCACGTGGGGACACCAGCTGCAAGACCAGCCTTCTGCTGGACCGAAACATTTGCTCCATCAACCAATATTTATTGATTGTCTGCTATGTGCCAGGCTCTGTGTTAAGTGCTGGGGATAAAATGACATGGTCTCTGCCTTCATGAAGTAAGTTCTCAGTTTAGAGACAAAGTCGGAGGCTAAACACGTACTTCTGTATTTATGTTAGAGAAGTCAGGGGCTGTGGGACCTAACCCATGACCAAGGCAGGTTAGGGTCATGGGTTAGGAAAGGGTCTCCTAGGCTTGTAGTCGTTATTCTTTTAGGGTTTCTGGACCTGATCCCAACATTGGGGGGTTCCCCCTGTGAGAACTAAGGGAGATGATTCATTTTCAGAAATACTAAAAGCTGTGCTGTCTAATTAACAATAGGTTTACAACCTATTGGAAATATATACTCACCTCCCACCATCACCACAATGGACTCCCAAACTCTTAGACACTTCCCTTCCTGGTTCTTCCCCTCTCTGGTTTGCGGGCTTTGCAATGAGCATGCTCCAAAGAACAAAGGGAGGAGGGACTGAAAGTCTCTGTGTCACCTCAGGGAATGTACATTTGTTCCAGTCAGTCTATTTTTCGCTTTACATGGACACAGGGAACGTCCCTGTAAGGCTGTAACCTCTGTAGCACTCAGCCAATGAGGAACCAAGGGAGGAACTTACCTCTGTAGTACTCAGCCAATGAGGAACCAGGGGAGGGACTTGCAAGCTAGGAGATAAATTGTCTGCTGTAGCTGTAACTGCCCACAGTGTGCCTGTCCATCAGACACCCACTCTTGCAAGACCCTTGATTAAAGTCTCGCTTCACTGTGCTCTGAGTCTCCATGTCCCTCCTTTGATTGGGTCTGTGAGCTTATTTGTAACAGCCCAACACCAAGCAAGTCTCAGATGCCAACTCAGTTCTGACACTACCCAAACATAGCATCAGATTCTACAGGTGGAGGGTGCAGTCCTACAAGATTACCACCCCCATCCCCTACTTCAGACACTAGTTGCAAGCCCCAAACTGCTACCTGTGCTCCTGACCGACTGGCTACACATTGGAGGTTCCAAGGACCTCTTCCTTAGATTTGGTTAATTTGCTGGAGTGGCTCACAGAACTCAGGGAAAGACTTACACTTATCAGTTTATTAAAGGATATGAGAAAGGATAAGAATCAACAGCCAGGTGAAGAGATACACAAGGCAAGCTCCCAAACAAAGAAGCTTCTGTCCTTGTAGAGCTTGGGGCCCAGCTCAGTGGTACAAGGGAGCACTCTGGTTCCCCAAGGTGGAAGCTCTCCCCAAATGGACCAAAGTGCTGTTACCTTGGGTTTTTATGATAGCTTCACTATATAATCATGACTGACTAAGTCACTGACCATTAGCTGACTCAACCTCCAGTCCTTCCCCGTCCTGGAGATGGGGAGGGCAGGGATATGGGACTGAAAATTCCATATCCTCCATTTGCAGATTTGACCCTCCAGGCAACCAGCCTCGCCTTTGGGTGAGGTCCAAAAATCACCTTCATTAATAACAACATACTCATTTCATCTTTATGGCTCTGAGTCATTTTCAGAAACTGTGGCTCAAGACCAGATATATCTGCAAAACATATTTTGGTCATCTAAACGATCAAATACATATTTCCTATAAATCACTGTGTCTCTATTAACCATTATACTTGAGAAGTGGATGGCATGAGGCAAAAAGTGGTGTTTCAGACAGATCAATCTCTGGGGCAAAGCCCTGGAGACAAAATCCAGCCTCTGGTGGAAAGAAAGCCTTGTGTTAATTGAGTAGCAGGACTGAAGTAGAGGAGGGGTGGTTAGAGGCCAACAGAAGCCAAACCACAAGGCTTTGAAAATCACCGTGAAGTCAGGACCATATCTGAAGGCCAAAGGGAAGCCACAGAAGGATTTAAAGAGGAAAGGACACAGTCTGAGCTGTTCTAAGATGAAGACCTTGGAGGGCACAGGGAAGGCTCAGTCGGTTAAGTGTCTGACTTCAGCTCAGGTCACAATCTCTGGGTTCATGAGTTCGATCCTTGCATTGGGCTCTCTGCTGTCAGTGCAGAGCCCGCTTGGGTCTCTGTCTCTCTCTCTGTCTCTCTGTCTCTCTGTCTCTCTCTCTCTCTGCCCCGCCCCACTTGCGCATGCTCTCTCCCAAAAATAAACATTAAAAACAAATTAAAAAACAAACATAAACGAAGACCCTGGGAGCTGCGTGGGGGGTGGCCTGGAGAAGTAAGTAGATGTAGGAAGACTTCTTCCCTGCCTAGAGGGTGTGCAAATCACACTAGTAGATCAGCAGGCATCTCTCCCAGCCCAGGAGTCACAGCGGCTTGGTTGTGCAAACACAAATAGAGTCTTCTGCACTGAGAGGGAGACAAGAAGTTCCACTTTCAGGGTCTAGTCTTCAGTCACAGAAGGACAGGATGGTCCTGCTTGCTGCCTAGGTGAAACAGGAAGTCCTATCCAAAAAAATCCTGTGCAGAGTGGGTCACTAACCCCGGTCACACCTGTGTGGCTGCCCGGACAGTCTTTGGACCCCCACCCAGAGAGATGACTGGACTGGGCCCAGTGGCCTGGAAGAGAAATGAAGGGAAGGAGACCACCTCAGAGATTACCTTGAATGTGACATGACTCATGCTTTTCTAGTGCTAGCTCACACCATTCAGAAATTAGCCCGGTTCCCTCCATTTGCAAAAGAAGAATTAAAACAATGTCCACCCACCCTTGGGAGAGATAAGACATGCAACAACCCAGCTTTTGCGGGGAAGAAGACACTCCTTCCCACTTCAGAGAGAAAACGGAAGTTTTGCCAATTTTTATGGAAAAGAATAAAGGCGTTTTCTCTCCTTTGGAGGGAGACTTGAATTTCACTCTTAATATAACAAAAATTGGATGGGAATTCCTGTCCAATTTTTACAAGTTTAAAAAAGGGGGGAAATTTACCAATTTTGTCAACCAACAAGTAAAGCTGGAGGAAGAGAACTCAGACCATTCCTCTCCTTAATTAAAACATAAAAGGGGCGCCTGGGTGGCTCAGTTGGTTACACATCCAACTTTGGCTCAGGTCATAATCTCACAGTTCATGGGTTTGAGCCCTGCATCAATCCAGAACCTGGAGCTTGCTTCAGCTTCTCTCTCTCTCTCTGCCCCTACCCCACCTGCTCGCTCTTTCTCAAAAAATGAATAAACATTAAATTAAAAAACAAAAAAACAAACATAAAAAGTCCCACCCCTGTTCCAGAAGGGCTCTGGGGCACCACTCACGCGGTGAGCCCAATTTGGGCTCGGGTCCTCCGGCGGGACTTTGAGAGGCAGAGGCGGTGGGGTCTGCACCGGGATTACGTTCCGCATCTTCTTTTCCAGTGGGGGGACCACAGGTGGTAAAGAGGGAGGACGCTTCTTTTTCTTCAGAGAGTCTCCTGTTAAGACGAGGAGGAGAAACAGAAACACGTGATTGGCTGTTCCAACATACTAACTCAGCCAATGAGCAGGAAAGCTACGCTGAGGGGCGGGGCCTTACTCTGATTGGCTGATATGGAGGTGGAGGCAGGATAAATGACCTATGACTGCGCTGATTGGTTTAGCCAGGTCTCCAGTGGGCCTCTTTCTAGGGACCCTCGCAGACAGTCCCTCGCTTACCCCTAATGCTGCACAGGCAGCAGATGCACAGGTAGAGAAGCACTGCCAGGAGCGCCAGGCCGAGTAGGGAGCCCAGGACGATTCCAGCAATGGCCCCTGGGCTCAGGGTGGGGCCTGGAAGAGACAGAGGATAATCAAGAACAGGAAGAACCCGTGCTGGATCCAAGTTTCCTAAGCTCCCTGCTCCAACTGTTTTAGGACCCAAGAAAATGGGACCCCAGACTCTCGATTTGTTTTGCTTTTACTGAGTAACTGTGGTGCGTCTGGCACTCTACCAGCTGGTAACGATCCATTGGTGAGCAAACCCAGATACCTACTCTCATGGGGATTCATTTTTCAGGGAAATCAGAAATGAATGCACAACTTAATATCCTAATTACGGGTTATGCTATGACGAAAACTAAATGTGCTATGACAGAAATAACGTGCTATCATGGAGCATTTGCAGAGTCAATCTTCTGCAAAGACTCTTACTTCCAAATAAGGTCACATTCACAGGTACTGAGGGTTAAATGTCAATATAGCTGGGGGGGGGGTGGTGGATACAATTCAACCAATCAAGTCAAGATGACATCATTAGGGTGGGCCTGAACCCAACAGGACTAGTGTCCCTACAAGAAGAAGACAGAGGCACTATGTCCTCTGGGGCGGGGGAGGCAGTGGAAAGCTGGAGGCAGAGACCAGGGCGATGTGGCTACAAGCCAAGGAACTCCAAGGATTCAATCCAAGGATTGATGGCCATCATGAGAAGCTGGAAGAGGCCAAGAAAGAATCTACCCAGAGTCCCAGAGGGAGCATGGCCCTCATTTCTATCAGGAGAACTGCCAAGCTGTGAGAGAGTACCTTTATATTGGTCCAAGCCACCTGGTTCATGGTCCTTTGTTAAAGGAGCCCCAGAAAATGGATACAGGCAGAGAAGGGGGATAATATGAAACAGACTGAGGGCGGCAGCCCAGAAGAAGCCTCCAGCAGCCCCAACTCACGGGCCTGGTAGACTCGGCTTTGTGATGGGATCCCTGGCTGGCCCCCCAGTATGGGCAGGATACGGAAGACCCAGGTCCCGGGGTTCCGATGAGGAAGGGGCACCACAGCTGACCGCTCCTGAGGCCCCAAGATGAGCAGGGTGATCCAATCCCTGTAGGTGGTGGCTCTACCCAGGTCAGGGCCTTCTGGTCGTGCCTGCACCTCAAAACCACTGATCAGGGCCCCGCGTTCCACATCCCAAGTCAGCACTGCTGCGTCCCGGGCTCTCTGCAGCCTCCACGAGGAGATAGAAGGTCCTGGTTGGGGGGGAAGGGTGAAAGTGAGGGCTGGATTTATGGGTCCTAGAGGGGAGACGGAAGGGGGCTGGGGAGCTGGACTCATAGGTCCTGGGGGCAGAAGGTCTGGAGAGCCAGACTTCTAGGCCTACAAGAGGAAGGGACTGAGGGCTTGGACTCTTGGATCTGACAGAGAAGGGGCTAGGGACCGGGTTTGAAGGAAGAGAGGCCTGGAGGGCCTGGACTTCTGGGTTCTGGGAAAGGAATAGACTCACCAATGAGGGTGATCTGGTTGCCCCCGGCACCCAGAGCCCCACTGCACAACACGGAGTAATTTCCCAGGTCCCAATCCAGGCTGAAGTTGCTAATGAGGAGCCTGCGCCCATCTGGGCTGAGCCGCAGGTGACCCCCTCCTCCTGGGGCCACGGGCCGCCCTTCCCGGGCCCAAGATGCTCTGGATGGTGGAGGACAGCCAGTTGCCTCCAGCACCACCTCTACCTCCCCTGACCGTGTTTCCTCCACTCCTGGACGCAGCAGCACCTCTCGAGGGGCCTCTGCAGGTAGAAGAAACCCTGGAGTCAAACACCAAGTCCTGCCCCCTTTCGTGAAACAAAAAGCTGTGAAACCCCAGCACTTTCACCAAATAAGGAAACACCGCCCATCTTTCAGTCCATCATCACCTGATTTCCTTAGCAAGGACTTCTTAGATACATACTAATGGCCCAGGTCCTCCACTGGGGAACCCATATGAGTCTCAGTTATTTATTGCTCTGGACACGTAGGAAGATGTCAGCCCTCTTCCTGGGTCCAGGAAGGAAATTGTGGCCTCTTCCCCTGCTTGAGGTATAGGGAAAACCTTGGCGCTTCCGTAGGATTAAAGACAAAGGAAATCTCTTTTCCGCGAGTTAGAAGTCCGCCTTTCTCATTTCCGAAAGAAGCTAAAATTTATAGCCCTTCCTCGGGAAATAGGAAAGAAGTCCCACCAGCTCTCACCCGGGGTGACAGTGCAGGTGCGCGTGGTCACCAGGTGGCGAGCGAGGCAGGTGACGGGGACGCCGCTGAGCCGGGGGTGAGCGGGGACAGCCGCCTGCAGCGCAGAGGGCGCCGGCCCTGCGCGGACGCCTTCAGGGAGACCCTGGAACTGCAACGAGGCCGCGGGGACCCCGCCGGGCCATGAGCAGCGGAAGCGGAGGCTGCGGTCCCCCGGGCCGCCTTCCACTGAGCACTGTGGGGACCCCGGAGGCAGATCTGTGGAGCAGAGGGAGAGATCAGGGGGTCAGCCTCTCTCCTCTCGCCCCTCTAGCCCCACCTCTGCGCACGTTCACGCCAACCCCTCTTCACCTGGACCTCCCAGCTAGGTGCCCCCTTTGCCAGAAACTCCCCGGCTGTGAGCAGCTGCAGCCCCACAGACGGCCCCTCTTTCCTAAGGGAACTACATCTTTGCACTGATTTCTTTCCCTGCAAACATAACCCCGGCCCTTCCTTTCTAGTCCAACCCCTTCCACCAAGATCCTGGGAGCCACCAAGCAGACATTTATGCCCCTTCGGGTTCCACTCTTCCCTCTTCTAAGATAACTCCACCCTTTCTAGAATGGCCCAGCCCCCTTCTCTTATGACTCCTCCCCTTTCCCCAGGTAATTTAAAAAAAATGTTTATCTATTTTGAGAGAGAGAGCATGAGCAGAGGAAGGGCAAAGAGAGAGAGGAAGAGAGGGACTCCCAAGCAGGCTCTGCGCTGTCAGCACGAGCCCAAGGTGGGGCTGATCTCACTAACTGTGAGATCATTACGTCAGTGGAAATGAAGAGTCGGTAGTTCAATTGCCTGAACCACCCAGCGGCCCTCAGGTAATTTCTTTATTTGCTGATCTCACTTAACCGGCCCAAGCAACTGAAGCTCCTTCCCTTTCTGGCCTCCACTCTTCACTATCTGATCCTGTTAATTTTTTGATATTGCTCCTGGCTCAGGAATCTCTGGCCTCGTCCCCTTTCCTGGCCTTCCTCACCCCTACCTGCAAGTCCCTCAGGTCCTTGTTGGCTCCGCCCCTTCTCCCGGGCATCCCCGCCCCTTTTACGGAGAATCTCCTCCCTCCCTTGCTGGCCCCGCCCCTCCGCTGCGGCCCCGCCTCCTCCGGGTACCAGGCTCCGTCCCCCGCCCCCCCGGCCGGCTCACCTGCCACCGTGAGGCTGAGCAGCGAGCGGCGGCGGCGGCCGGTGCGCGGGTTCGCAGCTAGGCAGGCGTAGGCACCGGCGTGGCCCGGCCCGACCGCGGGCAGCAGGAGACGCGGGCCAGCGGGCACCGCTGCCTCCGTCGGGTCGGCCAGGCTCCACGCGATGTCAGCGGGCGGCCGCGAGGCGGCGGTGCAGCGCAGGGTCACGTTGCTGCCCGCCGTGACATAGAGGGCGGGGGTGGCATCGCGGTCCGAGGAGACCTTGATGACCGGCGGATCCGGGCCGTCTGGGTGGAGGAATGGGTCGGAACCGGGAGGGCTGGGGTCACCCGGGACTCCGCCAGGACCCACGAGGTCGAGACCTCCAACAACCCCCTCCTCCCCAGGGAGTCGGGACCCCGAGCTCCCAGATCCCAGTCCCCGACCGGAGGCATACCCCGACTCACAGAAGACGCTGACGTCGGCCGCAGCCTCCGCGTGGCCGAAGGGGCTGCGGACGCGACAAGTGTACCGGGCGTGGTCGCTGCGCACAGGGTGCCCGATGAGCAGCTGGTCGCCCTGTGTGCGGATCCGGGGTGGCTCCGCTCCCTCAGGGTCCGCTGCCTCCAGGGTGCGTCCGTCGCGGCTCCAGCTCAGCTCCCCGCGACCCGGCCCCCATCCCATGCAGCGCAGCCGGAGCTCGGCCGCGCCCTCCTCTACCTCGGGGGCCTCAGGCTGCACAGACAGCTGGGGTAGGGGCTCTGGGAGAAGGGGAGTGGGGCTCAGGACCGGTCCCTGGCCCCCTCATCCCCTAGAGCCAGGACTCCAGGCCCCGGCCGCCCCACAGCCAGAACTTCCGGGCCCCAAGCCCAGGATTCCTCCTCCTCATAGACCCACGAAGTCTGAGTCCCCGCACTCTCCCCCTCCCTCCCCCCACCGCTCTCTCCTCTCAAGAGACTCATGATTCCAAGCCCCCAGGAGTGTGACCCCCAGGCCCAATTGCTCTCAAGAACCCCTGCCTTGGGCCCCAGCCCCTATTATCCTTCCTCCCTCCAGCCCAGAAGTCCTCCCTCCCCTGTCCAGGGACCCCTTCCTCAGGGGAGAAAACAGGTCAGACAGCAGTGACCTGCCTGAATGCCCGCACTCGGGACCTCAGTGCCCACTTACCATACACACCCACCGTGAACTCCCGAATCTGCTGGGAGACGCCAGCCCGGATGACCTCTGCAGTGTATACCCCAGCATCCTCTAGCTGGGCAGAGGCAAGTTCCAGGCCCCCCTGGGCCTGGTCAAATCGCAAGCGGTCCCGGTAAGCAGGATCCAAGCTGATCAGGGGAGCCCCGGGCCCCAGGCCCCCAGCTGCAAGCACCCTGGAGCCTCGGCGCCAGACCACCAGGGCAGGCGGGCCAAGGCTGGGAAGCGGAACCAGAGGCAGCTGGATGGCGGTGCCCACTAGCACTGACAGAGGCCTCCCTACTTGCTGGGGGAAGCTTCCCACTGGACGGGCTACCGCAGTTACTCTGGATTCAGGGTTCTGGGCAGAAATTTCAAGATCCTGGTCCTCAGGGGAAAATTGTGAACCTGGGGTCGCAACTTCAGTATCCGGGACTTGAGCAGAAATGTTTGAAGCTGGGGCCTTAACCGAGAAGGAGGGCTCCGAGTCTTCAGCAGGAACTTGAGAACTGGGGATATCAGAAAATACTTCGGAACCAAGGCCCTCAGGGAAGGTAAGATCCAGGCTCAACTTCTGGCCCTCAGCAGAAACATTAGACCGGAAGGGCCTAGGCACCTCATTAAAATTCGAGGCCTCAGGAAACTGTCTGGGCTGAGGGATAGCAGCAGTGGTTCTGGAAGCTGGAGACTGATCTGGAAATTTCCAGCTGGGGGGTTTGGTGGAGGAGACTTTCGAACGTGGGTCCTGGGAAGAACTTTCTGAGTCCGAGGAGAAATTGGTTTGCGGAACTCCAGAAGAGGCCCTGTGGGCGAGGACCCCGGCTCCGGAGGCTGCAAGGAGAGGAGGGGAAGGCAGGGCATCGGGGGGCTGCCGAGAGAGGGGACTGGTGGGGAAGGGGCTGAGCAGGGGACTTACCCAGGAGCAGGAAGAGCAGCAGAGCCCGTGAGGTGTCCATGGTGTCGGCCGCTCCCGTGACGACACTGGAGCGAGACTCCAGGGCCAGCACCTGCCTCCCAGGTCGACAAGTCTGACAGGACTGGTAGCTTCCTGGGTGGGGAAGGAAGCCAGACCCAGAGGGAGGTGCCAGCGTTCCCCACCTGCACCCCTCACCCCCAATCTAGTGGCAGAGCCAGCCACCCCAGCCCACTGGTGCTCATCAGCTGGCCCCATCTGACTCCTGCACTCCCCACACGCAAGGTGAAGATGGCGAGAAAGGAGCCCCAGAGGAAACGTGGTGGTAGCAAACCTGTGGGGGAGGAAGCCAGGAAGACTTCTTGGAGGAGGGTGAGGTGACCCTGCAGAGCCCCACCTCTGATGGCTTTGGCCTCAGTTCAGGCTTCCTCCTCCTCAGCCTCTTGCCTCGAGTCCACTCCGTCCTGGCTGCAGCCTCAGAGACCTGCGTTTGGCCCTGCTCCAACTCTTCCCATGGCTCCCTGCTGCCCTCAGAACCGAGTCTCGATTGGCTCACTCCCACCCAGTCACCTCTCCAGAGACCCGTAGCTGCCTCTCTGTCCCCCCCACCCCCACCCCGGGGCCTCAAATGCCCTGCATCCCATTAACCTCATCGTCTTCCCTGCAACACAACCCCCTTCCTGGGCTCTCCATCTCAAGTGCTGTTCCACCATCCATACAGAGGCTGGGGGGCTTCTTCCCTCCTCTCTCCCCTCCCCTCCTGCTCTGCCCCCTGAATCTCTGTCCCACCCATTTGTCTGGGTTCCCACTGGCCAGGCCTAGCACAGGCCCCATCCTCTCCCCCGACTCCTCCCTCCAGCCTCCAAGTCTTCCAGTGCCAGTCCGTGGATCCGCACGTGGCCCCTCTCTCTGCCCCTGCGCCTCCCGCGGCTCCCCTGTGCCCTCAGGAGACATCCAGGGACCCTTCCAGACCCTGAGTGGCCCAGACCCACCTGCTCCGGCCACACCCTCCACCCTCTCACTCTTTGGATATCCTGCCATTCTTATGCCCCCATCTCTCCCCTCCCAGATTGGCAGGCCGCTTCCTCCGCCTGGAATGTCCTGTTCACTCCCTTGCCCCCCCACAACTTGTCCTGCAGCCTCACTTGATTAAGAATCATAACAATAATTACCACTTCTCCCGTGCCAGGAACCATGTGAAATGCTTCCCAGGCATTAACTGGCCGAACACTTCCCAACGCCCTGTGAGCTGGATGTCATTATCCTCATGTTATGCAGGCTAGGAGACAATGGCTCAGAGAGGTCAAGGGACCTGCAGAAGGTTGCACAGCCAGAGAGAGGAGCTGGGCTTTGGGCTTAGGATGGTCAGACTACTCACTCCTTCAGAAAGCTATTACCCCACGGGGTAGCCGGGTGGCTCAGTCAGTTAAACGTCCAACTTCGGCTCAGGTTATTTTACAGTTCGTGGGTTCTAGCCCTGCAACGGGCTCTGTGCTGACAATTCGGAGCCTGTAGCCTGTTTCAGATTCTGTGTCTCCCTCTCTGTCTCTACCCAACTCGTGCTCTGTCTCTCAAAAATAAATATACATACCATACATACATACATAAAATATTTGGGGAAAAAAAGAACAAAAAGCAAGCAAGCTGCCACTCCATGCTGGGCTTAGGACCTCTGCTCAGCATCCAGTCCTCTGAGCTTATGCAGGGAGTTCTCACCGTGCTGATGGTAATGACAATGGCAATACTATACAGTGAGCACTTTCTGCGTGTCAGGTGTGCTTCTGGAGATGCTACATTAATTCCCTCAAAACCTCACGGGGGAAGTTTTGTCGCTTAAAGATGCCGGCAAATTCCTCCCTTATGGAGTGTACGTGCCCTCCCCGTGGACCCAGGTAGCCTCTGACTCGGCACAAGTGATCCCATGCCAGTATGCCTGGAGGCCCTGAGACGGGCATAATCCACTCAACTGCCACGGAACACTCCCTCCTGGAACCCAGCCGCCATGCGGGAAGAAGCTCGAGCAGCCCCACAGGGAGGAATCGCCCCACGGGGAGGAATCATGGCCCCTGGTGACGGCCAGCTCAAGCCCACAACCCTGGCCAGCATGTGGGCCACGCGACCAAGCCATCTGGGATGTCGATCCCGGGGCCCCACTTGAGGCCCCAGCTACGCCGCGTGGAGGAGGGGGGAGCTCTCCCGCCAAGCCCCACCCAGCTCTCAGATTTATGGCCAAAATAAATGATAGTGGGTTTAAGTCAGCGACTTTTGGGGTGGTTGTTATGCCTCATCAGCCAACCAGAAAACATGTATTATTGCTAACGCCACCTGAGGGAGGAGGAAATCTGGGTTTGGAGAGCAGGAACTTGCCAGTGCCTCAGGATCCAGACCCCAAGTCCTTAACCACTACACTAAGCTCTTCCTATTTGGATCAGCCAGATGAGGAAAAGGAAACTCAGAGATACAGGTAACTCACTCAAGATCCCACAGCTGGGAAACGTGAGGGAGGGTCTGAAATCACCGAGTCTGGGGGCACCCAGGGCATGATCTCACAGTTCATGGGATGGAGCCGAATTGGGCTCTGTGCTGACAGCGTGGAGCCTGCTTGGGACTCTCTCCCTCTCTGCCCCTCTGTGCGCTCATGTGTGCGCGCTCTCTCTCTCTCAAAAAGAAATAAATGAACTTTAAAAAATAAAATAACAAAATCAGAGTCTGACTCCAGGCCCCAGCGCTTCATCCCCACCTGAAGGGTTGTTTGTCTGTTCCCAAGCAGAACGAGAACTCCCTGCCTCCTTGTCTCCTGTGCTCTGAGTCTCAGCAGGGGACTGGCACCTGAAAGTCCTGGCAAAAACTCTGCAGTCTGACTCACCCCGCCCCTCGCTGGCATGTGTCTTTCAGGAAGTCAGCTAAGATGCTGTCTCCCAGGAAGTCTCTGACCCCACATTCCAGCTCAGTCGCCCCAGGTGGGCTCCCAAGGGGCGGTGTCACCTCTGCTTACAGCTGGCTCCGCCCACATCCATCCCCTCCTTTAACATGGAACCTTCTCAGGGACTGGATACGACTCACCTGGGTCCCCCTGCGACATCCAGCACTGGGCCTGGCACACAGGAGACTTAAGTAAATGTCTGTTGAATGAATCAAAGAACAGCTCTCCACGGAATGAGTGAACAGAGACAGTCGTCAAGAGGGTCATAGTTTTATTGCTGAGTTTCAGGGAAGGGCCTCAAATCCGCCCAATCTCCCTCAGCTTGGCCACCAGGTCCTCCATGGTCTCCACCTTGACGCCGGCAGTCCGCTGGGGCGGGTCCTCCACACTAACCACCGAGAGCTTGGAGGTCAGGTCCACACCCAGGTCTCCGGGCTTGATGACCTCAATCTTCTTTTTCTTGGCTTTCTGCACAGGGGCAGCCACAGTTCACAGGGCTGCTGAAGCCGCTGCCACCCCCCCCCCCCCCAGGGCCACGTCTACAGAACCAATCCCATTGCCCAAACTTATCAGGCCCTACCCACTACCCAGACACACGTGACCTGTTACAGGGCCCAGTACAGATAACTTTGTTGGCAGGCATGTACTGGGAAGCCCTTCTACTGAGGGTCTCCTGCTAGCTGCCAACCTTCTGGCAGTAATAATAGCTCAATGGATTCTTGGCCGAGCTGACCCACTGAACCTACCCTTCTGAGATGACCCTCTGAACTCTCCCTGCTGGCTGAGATAACTCACTGAACCCATCCTATTGGCTGAGATGATCCACTGTACCCTTCCTATTGGCTGAGATAACTCACTGTACCCTGGCGATTGGCTGAGATGATGCCCTTCCTATTGGCTGACATGCCATACTAAACTCTCCCTATTGGCTAAAATGACCCAATGAACCCATCCTACAAGCCATGATGAACGTGAACTCTTCATTTCAGCAGGGTGATGATCCCTTCCTTTGTATGAGAAGTCCCTGGGCCCACAATGCGCTCACCCATCCCTGGGTCCACAATGCACTCATCCACTCCTGGGCCCTCAGCGACCCCTCTGCTAAGCACTCACCATGATGTTGGGCAACGTGGCATAGCGAGGTTCGTTGAGCCGCAGGTCGGCGGTCACCACGGCAGGCAGCTTCAGGCGCAGGGTCTCCAGGCCCCCATCAATCTCCCGCTCCACTTTCACTTTGTCCCCTTCCAGTGTCACCTGGGAGGCGAAAGTGCCCTGGGGAGATGGGAGGGTGGGTGGAGTTAACTCACGGCGGGCACAGAGCGTTGTGAGTGCACGCACAGGTGCACAGGTGAGCAAATGAATGAGAGAACAGAAGAGAGAGTCCCACAAGGTAACCTGTAGACATCAAGTTCATAAACAGGAGGAAGCCACAGAAAGGGAATCTCAAAAATCTAAGGGAGGGTACCTGTACTTTCACTGGGAGCCAATGTGTAGGTCTTAATGACCTGAACCTGCCAGTTAGGTTCCTACCTATTATTAACCTACCTTAATAATGATGAACACGTATTGAGTGTAAACAACTTATAAGCACTAAGTCATCAGGCCCTCATTAGAACTCTATAAGGTAAATGCTATTATCCCCACTTTACAGACGAGGAAAATTGAGGCAGAGGGATGCTAAAAAATGTGCTCACTCTCACCCAAGGGCTGGCAGTCTGGCTCTAGGCTCCATGTCATGCTCCCACTACCCACCATTCGGCCCCCAGGAGCTCCCTGCCAGGCGCCTCTGCTGGGCTAACAACAGCCTCACATGCTCACCTTGACCCCAGAAACATCCGCTGGGACTCCATCTTCTTTGCTCAGCGCCCACACTCTCACCTAGGCCCATCTTGTGCCTCCGTCCTGAATCGGCATTTCCTGATGCACCTATACCCTGTTTGTCTAACCAACCTGCTTATTCCCTGGCCAAACCTTTCAAGTCTTAGCTGGGATGCCCCGTCACTCCTAGTCTCATCCGAGCGCCCCACGAGCCAGCCCTGGGGATACACAGCGATCATGCCCAACAAGGCCCCCGGCTTTCGTGGGCATTTATCCCGGCCGGGAAGACGGCTGGGAACCAAATAACTGGTGGCCAAGTAATAACGGTAATCACTGGA